CTTGATAATGTAGGTGTAGCCTTTGAAAGATGTCAGTGTTTGAACACTGTTATTAATACATGGAAGCAATGATAACATTTGTCTTTCAAAACAGTATTGTTTAGTTTGGAAATGAAATAATATAAAAAAACTAAGAGAAAAGGGCAGCTGAACAGTTAGACAGTAAAAAATCACTATGTTAAAATGTGAGCACAGTTAATTTAAATAACCCAACACCCCATTTAATGAAATATTATATTATAAACACTGTTATTAATACATGGAAGCAATGATAACATTTGTCTTTCAAAACAGTATTGTTTAGTTTGGAAATGAAATAATATAAAAAAACTAAGAGAAAAGGGCAGCTGAACAGTTAGACAGTAAAAAATCACTATGTTAAAATGTGAGCACAGTTAATTTAAATAACCCAACACCCCATTTAATGAAATATTATATTATAAATATCATAGTAATATTAATAACATTACTATTTATATTTAAACAAATTTCTTTGGTTTATTCAAATGAAAGATGAGACACATAAAAAGGTCACGAACATGAATATATCCGACTAGCTAGGAATTACCCAGGCCTCGTAACTGAAATAAAATATTCAGTGGAAAAGATCTAAAAGACATTTCTCCATTGTACAAGGTTGCACAAAAAGGAAGAGGGAGCAAAGGAGCAAATGAGATTCACAAATCTGCCTTTGTTGCAGCAAAACTGAGCTAGTACAGGAATCCAGGATAGACCCAGAAAGTCTTTTCATTTGGAAAATTGTAAAACAAGACCATGAAAAAAAATTACTAAGAATGAGAAAGCAGGGGGAGGGGAGTAGAATAAAAGTGAAGCAAGGAGCAGAAGTGAGATGCAACAAGCTTAACCAAAGCCTCTGTCTGAAAACCCAGTGTTTTTCAAACATTATTGTTTGGTTCGTGATCAAATTTGCATCTAAAAAGTGAGAATAATGTTTTCAAAAGCAGCTACTCCTCTAGTGCCTCAGGTGCAATTTTCAGTGCCAATAATTTTTTTCATTTAGAAGTCAAATGGAAAAGCTGAAAAGAGTTGGCTTGGAGCCAAGTAAGGGTTTTTTTCCCCCCCTTCTCACTGATACAGAAATAAAAACAAACTTCTAGTGTCAGAGAAGAGTTCCAGACAATCAAAAACAAACATCCCATTTCATTCACAGATACTTGTAAAAAAAGCGAAGGAAAACAAAGTCTAGCTTCACAAAGTTGTCACTGAGACTTTTCCTTTTTAACAATATTCAGTGTGGTTTAGCTACTTTCTAGGATCTGAGAGCCCCAGAAACAAATCCCATGTCCACCTCTTAGGATCATGTCTTAGGAAAGATGTGAATTATCAGTCTGAGGTATAACGGGGAATAAAGAACACTGCAACTCTAATTTTAAATTGTCCATCAGTCCTAGTTCAATTTTTTCATTGTGCAATACAATTCCCTCCTTTAAAGAGAGTTGTTTATCCCACAAATGTGCTAGAGGGATATCTGGGAAGAATTCTGGCAATGAAAACTGTAGGGTAAGTGCTAAGTAGTATTAATTTGGAAAAGAATGTGCTACAGTTATTCTAGAAATATGGCAAAGACTGATCATTAAGTTAGATTGTTAAACTTGAAGACAGGAAATATCATGCCTACCAACCTGGTCTCCTCATCACCTGATCGGGCATTATCATCTCCCTCCCCTGTCACTCCTGCTTATAGTTCTCCCCAGGTTGGCCAGGCAAATGATCACTACTATATATTTCTTGTGCTATCACAGCACTTAGGAAACAATCATGGATCCTTCTAGATGTGGTACAAACACAGCTTTTGACCCACTTGTTGAGGTGAATCTCATCTCTTCCCAGCAGTTCTTGGTCCTCAAAGAGGGGACATCCCATAGTCATAAAAGCCAACTCCCCATTTTCAGCACCAGCTGTGCAAACAATAGTTGACCTACAGGATCCATCCATTCCTCCAGCCCTACCTCCTCACCAGTAGGATTCAGGAGAAACCACCTGGGCACCTATGTCTTTGACTCACCCTACAACAATGTAGTCATGCTTGATACACTCCATGTCTCCCCTGGCAGTATCGTTGGTGACCATGTGGGAGAGCAGCAGGGAGTAAAAGTCTGAGGCCCAGACAAGACTCAGCGTGCTCTCCACATCTTCCCAGATCTCAGCCCCTTAACAAACCTCCCCAGACAGCATGTTGGGGCAGCAAATAGGAGTAGTCTCCAACTACTATCACACTTCACTTCCTCCTGCACGGTTCACGCTCAGCCAGCTCAGATGCTTTGCTGGAGAGAGCTTCCAGCCTCTCGTCTGCTACCAGAGCACTGAAGCTGTTCCTGTAGCTGCAAATGTCACTCCTGTCTCTGGTACCTCCTCCAATCATCCAGGACCTTTCAAAGCTATCTTTTGTTCTGGTTTTATACAGTACCTAGAAGGATCCACATTTGTTTCCTAAGTGGTATGATAATACAAAACAAACTAATGATCATTTGGTATTACCTCACTGTAATAATGGTTATGAGTGAGAGTTAAGTGACAGGTTATTTCAGGTTCCATGCTGCCTCTGTGGCTCTTTGACTCTATAATAACTCTTACATATATAGAGACATATACAGAGAGGCTTATTTATGTTAAACTTTTATTAAATCAGGCTAGATATCGCATCACAAACTCATGGCTTCTGAACTGCTCTGTTTAATGAATGGACTCAGCCTAAGGCATTTTAAGGCACCTCTTCAATTACATTACAATCTTCTGCCGGAACTTAGTATCACTTTGCAACAGAGAAGCCTATGAAAACGTCAAGTTTCATAGTAGCACGTTTTTGTGAGCAAGAACATTTTGTAATTTTTGGATTGTGACATCTTCATATCACTGGCTGAAATATGGATCAGATTTGGCTACTACAACATCAGATTAAAAAGCAGCATGAGGATATGAATAAAACAACGACGAAAAAAGGGGAAATAGCTCCCTCTCCAAGCAGAACTTTCTTCAAAATCTTAGAAATACAGATCTACATTTCCAAAGGCAGCTAGTCATTTTGATGTTTGATCTGACACATCAAAACAGGCTCAGGTCTTCATAGCACTAAAGTTCAGCAATCTGTAAAAAAACAAGATCCGCTCTAAGGATGGATGAGACACTACATAGTGAGCCCCCCCAAACCGCTAGTCACTCTTAGGGAAAGGCAGTAAAAGGGAGAAGCAAAAATAAATGCATTAACTTCGGTAAATTCAGCAACATGGGTATTTTTTTTTCCTTTTCCCTCTTCTACTTAGTTCTCCTACATCTTTTCTCTTCATTTCTTACAGTTTCTATCTTTGCATTGCTGAACGGTTTTCTCCTCTCTCCAGTTCCCTTCAGGAATTCCCAACCTTCTGTTCTATGTCTCCTCTTTCCTTCCCCTTGTCTGTGCTTCTTCCTTTTCCTTTTGCTGATGCCTTTCTTTCTGGCACTAAACACAGTAGACTCATCTTCTCTCTAGAAACCCCTCTTCTTTTTTGTCCATTTCCATAGCCTGTACCTACTCCATCTCCCAATTAGTATATTACCACCTCATTTCTTCCCCAGATCCTTACACAAAAGAGGATGTGTGAATGGAAATGGTTTAGTGAGCATAGGAGCTGAAGCCAGATTGCTTCCAGTTCTTCTCCTGTCTCGTATCTTTTCTGCCACCATCGCTCATGATACCTGCCTATGCCACCGCAAAACAGGCAGTATAGCTAGTGAGGAGAGCACCACTTGTCTCTAGCAGCAGTCCCTGGGAATGAAGGTACATCTAAATTCCCAAAGGAAAACCAGCAGATCCCATAAATTTCAGCACCTAAATCAATTTGAATAAACTGCTTTGTTTAAAGCTGTTCTTTCTTCTTGGATCTTAACAGGAAATGGAGAAGATCAGGATCTTTGAAAACTCTGTGTGCCTTCACTAGAAGCCTCAGGAACATGAGTTCAGCCAATGTCTCCCAACTCTGAGGCATTCTTTGGTTGTATTTTCTATGGTGTGGCTAAAATTTTCTCGGCTTAAGTACATACCAGAAGTGACTGTAGTTAATACCTGACATAGATTAGGCCGGCTCTATAACCAAAATATTCCTACAAGTAGTAACTCTAGAGTAAAGGCAGCGTGGCAGAAGGCTGTACTGGTTAAACGCTTCTTATACTAGCAACTTTTCATGCTGCTGTTGTAACTATGATGCTAGTATCTCCAGAGCTCACAAGATCAAGATAGGAAGAAAGAGGTGCTAGTCATGCAGCTAGGGGTATTTTTAAACCACTAGCCCCCGAGAACATGGGAAGGAGCTTCATTTAATGACAAAATATGCTGAGTTCATATATTCTGCAAGCTCATGGCACTAACAGTACTCCTCTTTCAGAGCTACTGAACTTTGTTTCCTTAGGGTTGGAAGCTTTCACCTTCCACTACAAAGTTAATACATTTCACTGAACTGAGATGATTATGCTAAAATCCACCAGCTCATAAGGAACAGGTCTGCTCCACAGACTGTAAAGAAAGAAATACATGCCCCAGAGCACCAGCTGACCATTGCAGGCAACTGCTAAAATGCCTGACATGATACCTAGATCAATCTCTTTTCAGGAGGTGTGTTGGAGGAGGGCTTTCCCAAACATTTGAATTTGTTAAGGTTGGATGCTAAGAAAGGCAAGTAAGGTTCATTATGTACACAAAACCAACACTCACCACCTATCAATAGGAAACAAGTGATTATTCCACACATTTACAAAAGGTTTCAGAATATGAAATCAGGTGACTCAACATAGTAGTCCTAAACAGGTTTCTTATGCAAAGATTTTAAGTCTGTTGGCTACTAACTAAAGGAATAGGTGGGTTAGCTCTGCAGAAAGATGCCAGAGGTGATTACTATAAGCCCATATAGGTAATCTGCAGTCCTGTGAGATGTCAATGAATTATAAAATAATATTACCCTGCAATTTTAAAAGGAGGTGTTACAGTGTTTCTTATTATTGACTCTTACTTTTCATTCCTGCATGCCTTGAGTAGAATCGAGGCTGTAAAAGTAAACCGTTTCTGTTCTGTGACACTGGCTTCAGGCTTCCAATGGAGAAATTCTTTTTCACACTCCAAATTCCTTCCAGAGCCACTGTTAATAATTTGTCAAAATAATACTGTTATAACTGATTACTTCAACTTGTTCTAGAATTAATGCAACTTTTAAAAGACAGTCCCTTTGGTCTATACAGTAATTAGAAATAGTTAAGCAGAATATTATAATCTTCCTCCATAGTTAATGAAACGAGATTGACATCTTCAGAGAGCAATTCAGATTGCTAAAGGTATACGTCGCTCTCTACTGTCTGTAGAACAGCTTAGGACTACTAGGCTCCTAACTGAACCAGGATGCAGCTTATCTATAATGTATAAGAACCAGCAGTAATACCATCGATGCATCCAGCATGATGTATTGGTCATACTGGAATACCAAATGCCCTCATAAAAAGAGAGCACAACAACAACCACAACCACAACCACCCCCCCCCAACAAAAAACCAAACCAAAACCAACACCACCAAAACAAAACAAAAAAGCTAATTTATTTTGTGGAAAGGTTACAATTTACTAACCATCTAATTTAAGCAAAAGAATAAACTTACTAATAATCTAAACTGTGTAAATCAGTAACCATCCAACCTGACAATTGTTGTTTAACAGAGCACAAGCCACTTAGGGAGCATCTCTAAATGTATACAGATGAAAAAGGAACTAGGTACTTGCTGAATAATCTGTACACCAGCATCTATTTGACCTTATTATACATAGCATTGTTATGCTGTGCATATAACATTATGCTATACATACCATTTACACACTGAGCTTGTTATACATCCATATTATACATTCCTCTAATTAATATTTTTGTAATGTTTCTATATTATCTTTAGTACTTTTAGCCTTTGTAACATACATTTCATTGGGGGACTCCCCAGAAATCATGAGAACATATATGGTGCCTCCATTTATACGATCAGACTGAAATATTCCAGACAATTTTGATCCACTGGCAGATGGATGCAGTGAAATATAGTTGTGTTCAGCTCTTAGTAACATTAGACACCTGAGCAGATTGAGCAGACCAATGTTAACATCTGCAGTTCAGCTACTTCTCCAGAACCCCTTTACAGTCAACGGGAAAAGAACAGGCGCTTTTAGAGCATGACACATGCGACGGTAAGTATCTACGACAAGTCAGAAGAATTGCATTTCCAAAGTGCTTTTTTCTCTCCATTTACTATAGACAGAGCCTACATAAGTCATTCATTTGCAGGTGTGTGCTGTAATTGCCTAAGGAGCCTAATCACAGTAATGGAATTGCAGGTTCAAATGGTCTTTACATCTGACAGGATACTTATTACATCACCTAACTTATGTACATTTTTGTCTGTGAATCCAACTGTTTAAAATTCATTCTGAGTGAGTTTAGACTTGGGTCTCAATCCTACATAAGAGAAACCAGATTTTTTTCAAAATTTTCCAAATGTGCAAAAACAAAGGCAAAAATGCCCTTATTACATTTGTGGAGGATGTAGTAATTAGGAGATACAGTGGTGGGCTTATTCCAACAAAATGCAGCTTAATATAACCAAGGAATAGCTTTACTGTATGGAAGAGAATGTGGTGCTACAGAATGGGAACTGTGTATTGTGGAGCAAAAGCTCTACATTTAGGAGTTACAGCCAACAAACTGTTCAAGGTCCTAGTGCTAATGTTAGCGCTAAAATAAGTAGATGATTCTCTCTCTCTACAGGCTACTAGTGATACAAATACTGAAATACCATGATCAGATTTGGTATTCACATTTTAAAAGAGAAGGTAAAACTATTGGTGAGAGTACCTAAAGAGCCAAAACCAAATATATGTGTATATACCTCCTCTGGAAGAAAGTTCTGGATAGTAAAAAAGGCACTTTATATATCCAAGAAAAGCAAGGAGCTGAATCATGCAAATCCAAATTATTAATCAGGCTTTTTTTTTTTAATACGCCAACCACTAGAGCAAACTAATGAGGGAAGCTGTGGAATAACCAGCTCTACTCGGTGGACTCTACAGAGAGGTACTTAATAAAATACAGCTTGGCTTGGCTGATAAAGGCAGTAAGACCTTGTAGTCAACCAGATAAGACAACCTATCCTTAAACATTACAAACTTCTGAAAATTAGTTTTCTACAATTAGATTAATAGATCTTATGGCTGCAGGAGACCACCAGCATGATGTAAGTTTTGTCTTATATGGGTCACTTGGCTTCAGGCCCATTCCTGCACCAAGACTAGCAAATGAGTTTGGACCAGGGCTAATGGTTTAAGTGCAAAATATTTGAAGTGTGTATTAAAAATGGTGAATCTAAGTGATCTTTGTTAAATTGTTAAAAAACGCTAATTATTTGTACTCTGATCTCATCTCATTTTTACCTCCCGTTCTCAGAACTTTTAATAGTTTAGCTAGACTGAACACCTTGTTCCCTCTTAGACTTCCATTTCCTCATTTGCCTACTGTAATCAAGTCTCTCCATAACCTTTAAGCTGCCTAAACAGACTGATTTTCTAATTGCTTTCACCATTTTCCTGTTCTTTATTTACCTTTATCATTCTTACCTCAACTCCTTTTCAACACCAACTTCATTTTTGAATAGCAGAAGGGGACAAAGTATTCTAATAACTACAGCACTTCGTTCAAGGAAAAAGGTAACAAAACCTCCCTACTGCTTGGCATTTGTTTCTGTTTTATTAAACTGATAGATCATATGGAATTATCCATGTTCTCTATGGTCCCATAATTTCAGACTGAAAAAAAAAGTAGCAATGACTATATGCAAATCTTCTGTTTTTAAATGTTCCCCAGGCTATTACATAAGTGTTCTGGGCTGTTTTTTTAAAATACTAATTTTGAGACAGTTCATCAAAAAAATTTATATTTCATTTGCCCTGACAAACACTTGCCATTTGCTGATAAGGAGGATTACCTGCAGCTGGATGTTTAGCTTCTCTCTGAAAATGAAGCTCTTCTTCAAGTATTTCTTTAACTCTCCTAGATGGCTCAACATATACAAATTTCTTCCCTGTTAGTAAAACATATTACAAAAGAACCAGTTATTTTAAATCCCCTGAATGCTAACATCCTTTGCCAAATGTAATGTCATTTTATGCTGCTTTACTTCTGTCTTCAACATACTTTAAGACAAATCATTTACAAGTATACGACAGTGTTCAGCCAGGCCCTGCTCTCCAACATCGAGCGATTCCTCACGACCATGGTGGGTAAATCTAAAAGGGGAGCGCTGGCGGGCTGCAGCGTGGTGAGGTGGCTGTCCCACGCGGGAGCCAAGGCCACCCACCAGGGCACATGGCCACTGTCTCCCCATGGCGAACAACCCAAGGCGGGGCCGCGCATGGAGGAGGTCTCCATGGAGATGTCCTCGCCGAAGGAGATCTCCAAGGAGCTGAAGAGGGATTAGGGCACCTCTAGGGAGGCCCTGTCTTGACAGGGCACTACCACATCCCTGCCGCGGTGGGGTGCACGGTGCCGGGGGAGGCGAGGGGCCACCAAGCAAGGTGGCCGCGGGGGATCAGCGGGGAGCTGCGGGGGGAAAGGCTCGGCTCCCCCGAGGGGACACGCCAGGGGGGGCG